GAGCGATTTCAAAATTCACGGCGATCGGGCGATAAAAATCGCTCGTGTGCCCCTACCATTAAAGGAGAAACCGGTGTGTGTAGACACACGAACCGTACCTTCTCTCCTGCGGATCAGCTCCTCTATGTGTCGCTCCTCTTCCTCGTTATCCGGCTTCAGCAGTTCCTCCTTATATCTCTGCACCTCACACATCACCTGCCGCTGGATGGGATCCTCCTTCTGTTTCATCTCCAGCTGCTTCTGTTCCTGCAGCACAACACGAGGGGGTTAGAACGCGAGCGGCGGCAGTCTAAACACTAACCAACGCTGTGAGCTATTTTTCGAAAGTGGCATCTATTTTTTTACTGTGAGTTAAAAAATGAGAGAATTTTCATCTCCTCGGAGAAATAATCATAGAGCTATTACAACACACTGCCACGATGATTAGAACACAGACATCCTTTTCTTAGTTAAACAGCAACAACTTGGAAAGAAAATGGAACGTGAACGAAATAGAGCAAGCAAACAGTGAGACCTCAGATGAGCATTACATGCAAAACGCACATCTATAAATATTTTGATAGATATATGGAATCACATCTAGCAGAACTAACTATGCAATTAATCTAATATAACACACCTATAAAAAAAAAACGGTGCAAAATGCCACTACGTGAATAAAATGCCACGAACAGATCCTGTTTTATAGTGATGATATATTCTATAGCGATGGATTTTTCTACAGTGGCCACATCAATGACATGCGTCTGCCACTACAGACTACGCACTAGTGCACCACAGACAGACTTGCTATGAAGCAGCGCACACACTACCTGACGATGGTACCAGTTCCACCGCAGCTATGTATATGAATAATGTAGAACGCGTCATTGAATATACGAATCAATCACGCGCTAGCGTTCAAGGCGAGTCGCCGGAAGAAATTCTGCATGAATTAATTACCGCAATTAATAAATCATTAATTGTACAGCCGGGCGAACGCGTGCGATATACGCTCCGGTGATGTATGGAGCGGTCTTCCTTTTGTGGTGGCAAAATGCAGAGATTCACTCAGCATATCGTCTCTTTTTCTCTCTCGGGAGATTCTCCCTACATTTTCTCTCTAAATTCTCTCTACATTTTCTCTCTAGATTCTCTCTACATTTTCTCTCTAGATTCTCCCTACATTTTCTCTCTAGATTCTCCCTACATTTTCTCTCTAGATTCTCCCAACATTTTCTCTCTAGATTCTTCCTACACCTGCCCCTTCCTCCTCTACCAGCTTCCCGCCTCCTCACCTGCTCCCTTTTCTTCCTCTCCTCCTCTCTCAGTGTGGCTTGCTTTGTCTTGTACTCTGCCTGTAAGGCTTGGATCTCCTTGTTCTCCCTCTCCCCGCGCTCCCTCTCCCGCTTCCTCAGCTTCTCCTGTTCTAGATCGAAAAGGCTCTTCATGCGCGGGAAGGTCACCACCGGCTAGAAAGGAAGCAGCGGGGAAGGTGAGCTGCTTGAGGAGGTCACCGCGGTCAAGGGAAAGAAGAGAAGACACAGAGACAGAAGAGAAAAGATAGTTACCAGGGGAAGAGGGAAAGAAGGGAAGACGAAGTTACCAGGGAAAGAGGAGGGAAAGGGAAGACACAGTCACTAAGGGGCAGAAAGGAAGATACGACAATCAGAGGAAGCAGGAAAACAACAGTAATCAGAGGAAGAAGGAAAGACACCGAAGACAAGAACAGAGGGCAAGACACATCAATCAGGGGAAGACACCGAAGACAAGAGATAGTACCGAGTGCTCTAGTGGTTTGTTCGGCGGTTTGGGGGCTGGTGGCCGGTTGATCGACCTACGCGTACCTAACCCTAACCCGAAAACCCTAAGCCTCCACTTAACCCTGAGGAACACCCGAACCCATAGACCATAAGTCAGATAGTACTTCGGGTTTGACCATAGTACTTAGAAGCATGTGTTATACCGACATAGAACACTCTTTGCCCTGGCTACTATTGTGTATAGTCGATTTATATATGTAGACTAGCAACTTCGCCCTA